TCAGACGTGTGCTCTTCCGATCTAATATTTGTTTAGAATAATGATTTCTAAAAAACGTTTTTTAAACGTTTATTTAACATTTTTTAAATATTTATTTAACGTTAATTTTACATTTGAAATAATGATTTGAGTATACATTTTTTAAACGTTTCCCAGATAGCACAAAGAATTTGAAAAGAATTCTTTTTTGGTCTCCAATTTACAAAATGAGTTTTTTTACCGTCCCATTTCTGTTCTAAAAGTATTCTTTAGGCTCCCAAGAGAGTTCACTTTTATGTCACCAAAAGTGAGTTTTTTTTTCAAATTCTAAAAGGATTTCATTTCACGTCCGTAATGAATTTAAATATGAGAAACGCAATATAATAAAATTGATATGAAGAAACAAAGAAAAATAGATATACAGAATTTATCAAACGTCTTATGAAATTAAATTGTTTTCCGATTTTTTATTTGATCGCTAGCGTGCTGCAGCCAATGTTTTATAAATGTTTCTATGTCGTTTCTAGAAACATTTTTTATTTTCGACTTAAAGTTAAAAAGAAGTCACAAAATATACTTATGGAATACTTTTTTAACTAGCAAAAAGGAATTCTTTTTTACTTCATTTTGAACAGATTACGCGAATTCGAAAAGAACTCAAAAAAGTGAATTCTTTTTGAAATCAAAAGGATCAGTGGTGCTATTTGGTTGTGAACCCTTTCGAACAGCCGTGTTGAGTGGCATCATGTTAGCCGTAGTTGTTGAAAAGTGCGGACGTCTCATATAATCTGGTGTTGTGTTTGTATATCAGACTTGGGAGATGGACGAGAAGGAGGAACAGCGAATACTTTCTAAATTTTCTGGAGTGCATTTTCACTCTTTTGAAGTAAATCTCACTTCAAAAGAGTAAAAATGCTGCCAGTCAAGTGGCCGAGTGGCAGTATTTTTAATCTTTTGAAGTGAGATTTACTCCAAAAGATTTAGAAAGTAGCAATTAAATTTTGTACGCCTTCTGAATCAGTTCAAATGTCTTTGTCGCTAAAAATTTACATAATAATATAAAGATTAGCTTTGCAGCAAAATTTAATTGTTACCCGCTGTTCCTTCTTCTCGTCCATCTCCCGAGTCTGACACACATACACAACACCAGGTTATATCAGACGTCCGCACTCTTCAACAACTGCGGCTAAAATGATGCCACTCAACACGGCTGTTCGAAAGGATTCAGACTACGTAGTTCAACAGTCGTTCAATAAATGGCATCCATAGAACTTATAGTGTAGTGGAAGGGGACTGCCTATAAGTTGAACAGAGAGATCCACGTCCGATATATCTCTCCCTCTTGCGAAATTGATTTTCGCAATTACGCATGCATGGCTTGCGTGCGCACCTTTTTATTTCTGTAGCGGGAAACGACGCGCTTACGCATTTTCAAAAATCAACTGAGTGAGGGAGAGGAGTATAGATTCTCTTTCTCACTTCCATTGGACACTATTCGATTCCCCATTCTCCTTCCATGTACTGTAAGTTTTATGGGATGGCCGCTCTCATGCTTCTCTCCCATAATAACCGCACCAGACCTCGTGGGCAGGTAAAGCAGATAAAACTGAACAAATATGTCCTCTACCATTTTGCAAAATTTGCAATCGTTAACGAGATATTAATTTTTGAAAATCGGCGAGTAAACGCATATCCGTCCGCCATACCGCTGAATGCAGGCGCACGACGAGATACGACTGTCTCACTGCTCGTCAACTACTGGCTAGCAACTACCAGCGGTGGAGCGGTCGTATCTCGCCGAGCGCCTGCATTTAGCAGTAGGCGGACGACTACGCGTTTATTCGCCGATCTTCAAAAATTAATATCTCGTTAATGATTACGAATTTTGCAAAATGGTAGAGGACTTTTCTGTTCAGTTTAATCTGCTTTATCAGCCCACGAGATTTTAGGCGGTTATTACCGAACACCCTATATAATGGAAACACGTGTGATCACCCCGGGGAGGATTAATTATATATATTGTGACGTGACGTCCCTTTTGGACTGTCAGTCATAAGGGATCTACGGACCCGACCGCGGACGGTAGTTTTGAGTCCTGCGTCCTCCCGATTTTCGGAGGCGGACGCGTGGCGCGGGCCACGGGACCACACTTGCGTGGCCCCCGCCGCCCGAATATCGAATACCGTTTTGTAGTTTCCATAGCGATCTCGACTGTTTATTATACCGTATCGGCGGCTCCCAACAAGTTGTAGAATTTTCCCCGTCTCACCGACACCATAGCGACCGTTAGAAGAGGACCACGAGGGCAAGGAAGATACCCGAGGACACAGCGTAGGTCGTATCTTTAGTTAGCGTGCCTTTCCGGCGTAACTCGAGAACAAATTAGCCGCCGAGCTTCTTTACAGATTCCGGGGCGAGCCTGCTAAGGCGAGGATAAAGGGGATGGCCACTCTACGCTCTAGATCGGGCGAGAGACCCCGCAGTCGGAGACGTAACAGGGCGCCCCAAGAATAAGATCTGCCGCCAGGCACGGCCTCTGCCGAGGAAGAGTTCCCCAGGACCAGCCACCTGAGCGTGTCACAACGGGAGCGTACCTGGAGGACCGCCGACAGAAGGACGTCGCATATATTTTGAATCCCCGTGCGCGGGGACACAGGACCCGCGGCGCTACGCACCTCACGCGATTCGCGGGGGTCGCGAGCTCGCACGCCCGCCAATTAGGGGCGCGTAAGGATGTACCACGTGGGCCCACCGGCCCGGCTAGGGTACTATATTATGTCCGGCGAGATCACGGAAGCAACGGCGCCCAGCACTTGTGCTGTGGCTAAGAGCTAGGAAGGACGTAGGACGAGAGGCAAAGCCGTACGATAGACAAAGCCGTACGAAGGACAAAACCGTACGAGAGACAAAGTCCGCAGAGGGAGAAGCGAGATGCCGTTTCCGTAAAGCCGATATCAGACTACGCATTGGAGATTGAGATTAAGATTGAGATCGAAGCTCAGCCAATGAGAACACAGCAGACTGAGATTGAGATTGGAGTTTGGAAATTAGAATTCCGTCTATTTTTTCAATCTTCAATCTCAATCTTAGCCAATGGCTTGACGACTTTTTGGTCACGTGATGACTACTGACATTTTTACCGAGAATGATAAAGCAGATAGAGATTAAGTTCGTACAATAATAAACGTGCAATTAAATTTAATGCACAGGTAAGTATTGTTATGAACAAAATTTAGTA